GTGTTTAGTTTCAATCGTGGAAGATATACTTCACACTGCTCCACTTCGACAGGCTTCTGGAGCAGTGAGGTCCATCGTTCGGACACACGGAGTTGTTCGAGGAGTTCGGGCAAGCCCTTTGTCTCATTTGGAAGCACAATTTGCATTTTCCAGTCACTTTTCGTAAAATAAAGAGAAGCAAACATCAAAAGCGTCAATTAAATAAGATAAACAATGTTCCCGTAAAATTCAAACTGTTTTAAAAGAGCTGAAAACACACATCGTCACCAGCTTGTTCGGAACGAACTCGGACTACATTTATACCAATTAAGTTTCAATAATCGAACAGAAACCCATCGACGTCTAATCAAAAAAGGACACGGTCTTCTTTTAAAAATGTAACTCAATCTGTGATGGGATTTATTTTTTTGGGATCTTTAATACATACAGGAAGACTAAACAGATTATGACGTTTTCGAATAAGCAAAAGCAAACAGGAACAGAAAATCACGTCTTAAATATTTGACATTTTATTCACTCTTCAGTGGCGCTTAATCAAATACAATCACTTTTCAATTTTTGTCCAAATTTTTTCACGTAACCATCTCGCCGCAATCATTTAATAGAACTACCTTTAGCTTTCTGAACATTCTGTCAAGTCTCAATAAAGAGAACCCTCTCAGTATTGTTCTTTCATAGTTGCGTTGGAGAGTGCCTTTGTTTGACAACAAATAGTGTCAAGCTTATTGCTTATCACTTCGTTGTATTGCATTCAGGCTGACGATATGCATCCGAAAGCATACAGAAACAGATTAATCTACTCAGCAAATCAACCTCAGTTATCCCAACAAGCCTTTCTTTGTTCGGTTATTTTCNTGACATCCCTAGAGCAAAACTTATCTAATGGATATGAAACTTTTCAGCACAGGTACCATTTCTTCACTTCTTGAACTAATTAGTTTAGCACCAGGTAATGCTCCCTGCATGTATGAGGGCATGACTAGTGATGGACACATAATAAACAACTGAGGATGAAGAATTCAAATGTTATGAAAATTCCGAAAAAGCGTGTTTTCTCCCAAAAACCACCGGATGCTCCTCGATCGGAGAGGTTTACTTCACGATATTAGGCAGTTGAACTGTGTGCATTTTCCCCCGTTTCAATCGCAATCAGTAATAAAACCAAAAAAATATTCGTCTAGCTAAAGTAACCAGCGCATGGTATACAGTTGAGATCTCAATGGGTTCTTGTCGTCTCTGGTCCATCAAGTTATTTAACTGCGATAACCGATGTCAGTTGAACCATTTAGTCAATAGGTTTACGCGATCTGCGACAAGCAATTCACACCAGAAACACGAGAGGCAGCTTTGCAGCACCCTTATGCTCCAAAGGGACGCATCGAAGGACTAACCTGCCCTCAAATTTCATCCACAGAGAGACCGAATCTAAATCAGTCAGATCTGCCCACTCGAATTCTTCCGTTTGTGACATCATCTGGACAGTTGTACTTCCACCATCCAGGGTGAAGAAATCTCCAGGATGTGTATAACGATCATCGAAACATTTATACCATTTTCCTGAAACACGAATGAGCCAAATCAAAGACACCGCACGCTCACCTTTGAAGTATAAGGCATTGACTAGTACCAAGCAGGTCTCCTCATAGATTGTGCCAGGTGAAATCAGCTCGGTAATCTTCCCTTTGGTTTTCTCGCACACCCAAGCATTGATATGTTTGCGCTGATCATCCGGTTTACCACGAAAATCAACCTAACGGAAAAGTGAATAGAATTTGATGTTCCCCGAACTAACACAGATAAACTCACTCTTCTGGCCAATGCTCCGTATAGTTCACCGATGTGTTTTTCATATGTGTCATTTAGATCAAAGTCGTTCCGAACAAATAGCCCAGTACTCATCAGCAATTCCAGTGCGGTTGAAGAGGTGAGCTTAGACAGAGTACGACCAATGGCTTCATGCAATTTTCCATTTGTTTCTAATTTCTTCAAATGCAACACTTTAAGCAATTCAGTCTTTGTTTCTCCGGCACTACCCACCAGAATCGCAGAAAGCGCTGTGTATATACCTAATGGCGATACAAACTGGTTCTTCATACTGATTTCTACAACAGCATTTAATGAATTAGTGAATAAATTCGCAATACCTTCAGATTGTCGAAGCATCGCGGAATAAAAGTCGACCGCGAATGATCGCAAAGAGCCAGGAATCTGATCGTCACAGTGCATGGTTCTTCTTTGAGACTAATTGGCTGCAAGTGAAATTACATTTGGTAGTACAACTTATTTTATGGGGTGAAAATGAAAATCCCATCAGAGGTGGTTTGTTAGCACACATCGTTGTGTGACGAGCAAGTGCAAAGTTATGCCCGTAGTTACGAGGACTAACTAATTCCTCATGATCACAAGCAACCGATGCACTGGAATCTGGAATGATGAACCGCGTATCGCCTCAATGATGTATGCATTGCAGTTTTCCTAATGTGCCCTCCTGGAGGACGATACGTTCTGAGAGAGTTGCGTATTGCAAGATAGTTAAAGTTGACGTTTTGTACGTAATAGAAAAATATGGAAGGGAAAACCACTGGACGCCGGCAAATTTGGTAGTGTCCGTTGGTGGTCTAAGAGGCCATGAACGGTGATACCTATTTGCTCTCTATCAACACAACTGGCTTGTTTCAAATGCATTGTCCACGCCTATTAGCACTCTGATTTTTCCCTAAAAGTCTCACAACAAGACGGTAGACAATTGCAGTCGACAGCGAAACATGGTCATATTTTAGATGGTGAATGTTTGGATTAGCTCATTCGGTTTTTCACAGATAGCAGGTTATCAAAAACATTTCCATCACATTAAAATGCATACAAACAGTGGGCAATCAACGATTTCTCAAGGAGTGAAACCCACATCCAACATCATCGACAGTGTCTGGTGCCTGTGAAAAACCGAATGAGTTAATCCAAACATTCACCATCTAAATTGATTGAGCCATTCGCACAAGGTGATAACCGTCGACCATGTAGCTCAAGGGTAAGGGGTTTGAAGTCCCAGCCCGAAGAACCGCGNATCAAACAGTACGAAACAGATTTCCAGTGCTCTTTGAAGGTCACATCTTGTTTTCTTGAAGAAAATCTGCAGCCCAGTATTCGACATTGGCTCTGGTCTGCACTACATTATTATTCTAGCTAACCTTGATGAGCGTTTCATTTAGACGCAACTCCATCGTAATCGTTCGATGAGCCAAGCTGTGTTTAATCTACAAATACCGCATTCATTCTGGCCTCTCTAAGTCAGTCTCTTATTGCTGTACGGGACTGTGGATTTGTATCGCATTGTCGGTCCAGGTCGTCCAAGTAGTATATGATTCCACTGGATCCGCCAATATTAGGCTATTCTCGTGAGGAACATCATTCAGTCATTCAGTCGTCCGGTTAATGAGACTCCCAATACACGTCACTTGAAAATGGAGCTCCC